CAGACAACAGGTTATCTGGTCATTTTTGCACTGACAACAATTTCTGGACATTTTTCAAGGGCAGCCCCACATAAAGCACATTGCAATAGTCCATATAAGATGTAACCAAGGCACAGATAACAATGGCCAAGTCAGACTAGCTCAGGAAGAATCAAAGTTAGTATATTAACCATAGTTATAAAAAGATGTTCCTTGCCATAGCCTTCATGTGTAAATTCAATAACAACTGGGGGCCAAGGAGCAGTCCCATACTAAGAACCTACTCTTTGGGGAAAAGAACAACTTTATCCAAAATAAGCTTCACCTCTACCTTGAGTCCAGCTTTCTCATTACCAACAGTATTGCTGTTTTGTCTGGATTTAATTTTAGTCCTCATCCAATCAATTATTGAATTTAAACAATGCTAAAGGGTGCCAATGCCTTCCTGTGAATTATAATGATAAGGAACAACAGAAGGGGGTGTTATCAGTATACTGATGACACCCATTCCAAACCTGATGACCATATCCAGAGGTTTCTAGGTGCATCCCAACAGGAAGGACCAGTTCCATCCAGCAGTCTGATCCGGGGAGAACCTAGCAAACTTCACCAGCATGCTACTTGCCATCACCACAAACCCTCAATAACATACAAAAAACTACCCACATTTAGAGCCTGATCAACAAATGCAGCCATGCCCAGTGCCATGATGAAAACAAAAATCTATAAATGTAAGAAGAAAACAAGTGCTAGAATAAAAGATGGTAAGGTTTCAGGTGTTTCCACATTTAAATCAATGTTGAATAGCTTAAAATGTTTGTTTTAAAAGCATGGGAAGATGATATTTTGAAGACTTCTTTATGAGAGATATATCTGATGTATAATTCTTCAGAGTAATAATTAAATAAAATTGTACTATAAACTGCAATCAAATAAGCTGTCAGAAGATATTACAAACTTTTTATACTAGTACATTAGTCATTATTTTTGCTGCTGTTCTGAAGCCTTTTCATGCAATTGTTTTATGATATAAGCTTTCCACATTTGTTAAAGTCAACATTTTCAGTCCCAGATAATATTTCTTTGCAAAAACCTCTTCAGCTTCCTCAGCAATATACTCAAGATGCTTTTTAGAAAAAGTTCTAATGTTGACCTATAGGACTCTAAATGGCTTAGGAAAAAGTAACAGCTGGCTTTTCCCACAGGCATTGGGCTAGCAAGATTGGAGCCCAGGAGACTGTATACTTGGATAGATATTGTTGATTGAGTGCTGGGTTTTTCTTGTTTGCTTGCTGGATTATTTTATTGTTGCATTTTTATTATTGCTGTTAGCTGCCTAGGGTTGTGTTTCACAAGATAGACAGCCATGTAAATTTTAAATAAATAAATTTGTATATGAAATTTTGCTGCATATTTTCAAATCATTTTCAACAGTAAATGAATGGTCTATATATTAATTTAATTATCCATAAGTTATATTGAATGAGATGCCTGTATATGCATAAGTTGATTTTAGGTATCAAAAATTATATTGTAGATTTTTTTTTCTTTAAGAGTACATATGCTATCCTAAGGCAACATGACATCCCTTTTCCATCATGATTTCTAGAAATAATTCAGAACATCTACATATTACATACTTGATATTTTTCTCCAGTTTCCAGTTTCTCTACTTTCATTCCATAAGCCAATATTGCCAAGCTTATTTTTCAAATGTTTAATATGGCCACAAAATATTATTTGAACCCCAGAACTGAGTACAAGTTTGAACATATGCTGATCTTATAATTTTCATTTAGCACATTCTAAGTTAACAGAAGAGCACAAACAATGGTCCATCATTAGTCAGACAATTTATTCCTCCATCTGGTCAGAAACAAGTTTTTGTTATGGGGAAACATGTAGCTAATTGAGGACACCAGCTGTTAGAAAGGCAAGAGACTAGCTCAAGGATGGGATGGGATGGGATGAAAAGTACAAATTAGTAGTAAATGAACAAAATTATGACATCATTCTATAGAACTCCCCTCTATTCAAAGTATAACTATTACTGAAGCACAACAAGAAAAAGCAAGGAAGGCAAGACAGATGACAAATTTTTGCCAGTAAAATAGGAGGAAATTAACTACTGGAAAACTGTAAAGGGAAGGAAACATGAATGGACAACAGAGTGGCTGGATTTACATATTACATAAAGGCAGATTATCATTTTGAGGTTTTTGTTCACTTTAATATATGAATGTGGGCATGACAGCTTGTGAACCATGACTTACGGTTTGGTGTTATGTCTTAACTATTTATGAATGAAACTATTAGCTGTTTAATACTGAAAACAAACAAAAAAACAAGGAATAAAAGACAAAACCAAATTTGTGCTTGTTGTGAACTAGATGTATGGCAATATAGTAGGAAGAGCAATGATAAATGAAGAAGTCTGTGGGAAAAAATAAACCTGCAGTCTTCGTTATAGAGATTTACCAAGTGAAATACAAGCCATGAAAATGGGGGTGAAGGATTCAAAGTCCTTCCTTATAGCAGCCTTCTGCTGCTTATCTCAAA